CACTCTGCATTCGCTTTTTTAATGATGCAGTTATCATCCAGAATGTAATTATACCTAACGTAATGATCAGATGCTGAAGAGAACGCTACTCAGGAAAAGAACGGTGAATGCCGTCTGAAAGCTTTAAGCTTCTGTCCTTTGAATTGTACACTATGCATACGCTTTTTCCCTGCATCTTCTCCCATTAGTATAGCTTTTTATCTTCATCGTTGTTGAAAGCTTGCTATAGGTTATTTTTAAATGCCAAACTTAATGATCAGGTGTTGAAGAGTACGCTACTCAAGAAAAAAATGGAATACCGCCTGAAAGTTTTAAGTGTGTATCCTTTGTACACTCTGTATTCGCTTTTTTTTCTTGCATCTGCATCTTCTCCCATTAGTATAGCGGTTCATCTTCATCGTTGTTGAAAGCTTGCTATAGGTTATTTTTAAATGCCAGACTTAATGACCAGGTGCTGAAGAAGAGACTCTACTCAGACGCTACTCAGGAAAAGAATGGTGAATGCCGTCTGAAAGTTATTCGCTTTTTAATTCTTATGATGCCTTGTCACCCAGAATGTAATTATGCCAAACTTAATGACCAGATCCTGAAGTATTTTTATACTAAGGAAAAATGGTGAATACCGCCTGAAAGTTTTAAGTGTCTATCCTTTTTCTATGGCCTGCATTCGCTTTTTCCTATGATGCCTTATCATCCAGAATGTAATTATGCTGATTGCATGGCTTCTCGAGAAGATCGCAATCTGAAGTGAAGTTAATAGACAAAGATTGCACACACGTATTCGTGCTACGTGTGAATCAATCTAATTACGTTCTGAAGAGCTAGGCACAGATGCCTACCATTTACACTGCACTGATGATGCTTAAAACCTCCCAAAGGTCTTATTACCATTTGGTATCTATGTATTTGTCAACGAAGGTTTCTTGGAAACCCAGCGCATAGGCGAAAAAAATGCACGGAGGCAAAGATTGCTACAATACACCTACTCAATAAAGATCAGTGGATACTTGTTGCAACGCAAGTGACAAATCCTTCATAGGGAACCAATGTGTTTCTGTATGATATAGATGTATCCTTGTATCGAATCCGGCACACGCATTAGCTGCTAATGTTTGCTATGGAACAAAACATGACAAGATGACAAGTAGTGAAGAATGGATACGTCAGATATCCTAACAGCGTTTCTCAAAGCTAACTCTTTTATACATCATTCCGCCTCATGCAGTCTGTAATCTGAATGAGGTTGACGGTTGTGGGTGCATGTGATATGGACGCCCCGTTGCGTAACGAGATACCTTGTGGAGCTGGAAACGTTACCTCCAGCCGATCAGGGATTATAGAATTCGTCATAAATCATTTTAATAGTCAGCTATTAAAAGTAATAATGCCAATAAAACACAAATGTAACAGATCCCATTCCTTTCCTATTTGCTTCACCCCAAGACGTCCTTAAAACCACACGTACGTGCTGTGACCACCTGATGCCTCCGAAGTTAGTGACGGTTTCTACAAAGTTATTGTAACAATTTGCTCAAACCGTGCAACTTCGAGATGTTGGGTTCCATCAAACTTTGAGAATGAAATATACAAACCCCAAGACATCCTTAAAATCTCAATCCGTTCAACTTTGAGATGTTGGGTTCCATCAAACTTCAAGAATGAAATATACAAAAGCCCCAAGACGTCTTTAAAATTACACATGTACGTGCTGCGATCACTTCATGCCATTGTGCGTATTGTAACTTGTTGCTGAGGCGTTGAAGCATCAAACGGGGAAATGATCATCAAACGACGTGGATCATGTCCTGTGGGGAGTGTGTGGGAACTGCAGGGGGTGATCGGAACAGCCTCCTCACAGCTGCCCTGCCTCTAATGAGGCGAAACGCGTGCTTACGCGGGATTGCGCAGGATTGATCGACTCATAAACAGCTCTAGGAGCATCTGCTGCACACCGTAAGAACGGCTAGCCAGGGAACCGTAGGGACGTGTGAGGAATGAAGATAAGATGCCCAGCAGGCAACTTCCCAGTTTGAAAAGTTTAAAATGGCAGTATTACATTTTCGATTTGAATATTAAATTTCCAGCAATTAGCCATGAACTGTGCAAAAAAACGGTTAGTCTGTGACAGAAATATCTATTGTAATTATGACCCACGATATTCGTCATGAGATTCTAACTATGCGCACAGCTTAAAGTATACATAAAGATTCTGTTTCTTCATTCTAATGGAATATGTATTCTTTACGCACGTATGCTTGAATTGAGGACTTTGAGCAGTGATTATTTATGTGTGGCAAGAACAAAAGACCGTTTGTCTTTCATCAAACGCTGCAAAGGACAGTTAGAAACCGGGACATAGGCCGAACTAAGTCTGGGCACCAGGTAACAAAAGTTAGACATGCCATGCAGGAAAATGAATCTAAATCATATGAAGTTTACGGTTGATGCAGCAGCCGTTTGGCAATGAAACCCTGACTGCAGCAGCTGTGTTAAAGTCACGCAGTCAATCTCTGACTGCTGCCATCAAACTTGATCTTCCCCTGGAGTCTTCTCGGACGTAACAGCTCGTACCAGCTGAGCTCCTATGACCGGTAGGGTTGGTGGTACTGCCGGGTCGTTAATGCCGGCGTTTTGCTATTATGGGTGATGGTAAATGCCATTTTCGTGCTCCGAGCGACACTGTGGCATCGTGGTTTGGTCATTTTCATGAGATGTGAGAGATGAACATTGATCCTAGCCAATGGCATTGCCGTGTTCAGTATTATAGGCCGTGCTCATCTTGGAATTTCCTTCCTATATATGCCCATGTTTGCACATATAAACCAATTTCGTATCACGTTGATGAAGGTTAGACATCCAGGTAATGGGATACATAAGGAAAATGTTACTAGTTGACAAGTAAATGACTTGGAAACAGTTGAGGAAAGGTGGATACTACTTGAAATGTCTGACAGTTTTTAAAATTTACCCAGCTGCTTGAATAATAATTCCTAGAGATGTATGTATCTGTGCAAAGAAAAAAGCTCTAGGATCAAGATATTTCAGACATACATACGATGTTGCTTGAATGCTGTTGATATTTACATAAAACATATATATTAATCACTCCATTTTTTTTACTTGGCTGGGACGATATTTTGCATGTACCAATATTAGGGTACAAAAAGCTCTTCTACATTCTTACAAAATTCTACATCGTAACCCAATTTGTCCTGTAATTAGTTTAACCCATCTGACCTTTAGAACAGGCTGTAATGTATTGCCAGACCAGGGTTAGAGTATTAAAGGATCTGCCGTTAGACGTGTTGGAGCAAATAGATCATACTGGTGATGGACAGGTTGAACTGGTACTGGCGCTCTATCTACCGTCTGTGGAACAGAGTATGGGTGGATTAAAAAATGTCGCCATCTTGAAAGGGCCAGAACAAACAAGCCAAGCTAAGGGGACGACTGCTTTATGGCTCTTCTGAATGTGGAACGTAATATAGGTGGAATTAAAAAATGTCACCATCTTCAAAAAGTCAGAGGAAACGAGCCATTGACTGGACATCTGATGTGGTCTGACCGCTGGTCAATGATTTACACAGTTGTTTGACAAGTCATGGCCATAACAGAAATTATATCACCGTTATTACAACAAAATCTATACACAGGGGAAAACTTAGTCCTCAGGGAAAACTTAACCCTTTGCCTGCTCACAACTGTCTGAGAAGGGAAGCTTAGCCCAGGTGTATGAAATTGGGACACTGCTACATTGCACCGGTACAGTGTGGTATAATTTCATGTAAGTGGATTGCTTGTCGTGTATTCTCTTTCATTGGTCTCTAAGGCCAATCTAATAGTATAATGATGAAATATGGATGGTTTAGAACCGGTCTATTACATCTGACCTTCCTCTTTATACACCAGCCACAGAGTATCAGACTCCATTAGATTGGCATTCGTGCAAGCTGGTCCACGCTAGGATATCGATCGATCGAGCTGGAACTTTGCATGACTGTATACTATTACTAAGCAACTGTAGCATATAAAGGGCGGCATACTTAGTACATGATTCTTCATTCACTGACCTCATCGGCTCTAACAAATGGCTGTCATTTTCAGGATGAAACTGATAGTTTAGTTTATTGCAAATACGTGGCCGATGGTCTATTGAAAGTATAGAGAACATGTATGAATTAGAAAAAAAATGCAATGATATGGCAGACTTTGTCCAACGTTACACTACATCCTACAACATACAGTCTGAGCTTTAGGCTTTCAAAGTATAAGGAAACACAACATCAGTGCCAATCTTGCCAATACAGATACCCTGTAAGAAATAATAAACAACCTTGTGACCGAGTCAGAAGTGCAGGAGCACATCACACCAGTTAGACTATGCTGTAATCCTTCATTGCTGCAGACAAATCCCCTCACGCGACCTAGAGTCAGATATATCTATCATAATCTACGGGGTTATATAACTGGCACCAGGGGAGGGTTTACATGATAAATGGGAGATATAAGGTTTGAGGATGAAACATGTCTCCCTGTATCCAGATCATGACAGATAGCCGCGGGTATAATCTCATTTGCCAAAGCCTTTCACAAATAAAGCTGTAACTGCGTCATAGAATCGTTCAAACTACCGCTGAAATATCCTCACTGTCAGTAATTTTCGCCGGGGTCACAAGGTGCTGAGTATCAAGTTCAATGGCCAGGTGTTGTGTTGGTGGGTGGCAAGAAGTAATTGGCATTTGCATCGGACCCATTCTTATGCCAGTTCTGTGTAACAGACCTGTCTAGCACGCCTATTTTTACCTGTCCCTATTGCAAGGTGACCCTCCCGTGCGTTACTAAAAAAATTCAAGTCACCAAGGTGACCAATTATTTTAGTCACACATCGCCATCACACTCACACCACAAAAACAGCTTTCCCATCTTAGTCAATTGTCTTTAAAAAGCATTTCAACAAGGTGTTCCTTGTTTGACACATATTTTCTTTTCTTCTTCAACAGATGCTGAAGCCAAGGATGAACTAGTGAAAGAAGAAGACCAGCAGGTGAGTTGTAGAGTCAAATAAATAAACAAATGAAACTTAGAACTTATAGATTCTGATTCAACCAACTACCTTAACCACAAAGTAGATGCATCAGCAAATACAATTCTTCTGGTTTACGGAGCAATGTGTGCATGTCTGTGACGTATTGCTTGTCATGTTCGCTGCCTGCTCTATTAGCTGTTTATAAGAGCTCTCGACAGTAAGTCATAGTTAGCAAAGTGTTGTTCTACTGAAGGTAATTGGCAAGCACCGCCACTAGAATGTAATTACAGATGGCATGGCGTCAATCCGGTGCTTCATTTATGGTTTCATTATCTTATATGGGCTTTTCGACATATATATTAATAGCTAGGATTTTCAAGAGGGATTTTCTTGTCGTGAAGACAACAACACAAAATTATTTGATCAATTTTCCCAACCTTCCCAATAATGAGTAAGGCGGAATGTGTACTTAGATTGATGACTAACACACTAATGTTTAATAATCACTTTTGTAATTATATTAATTACGAAGAACAAATCTGTTTCAGGTTGGCTGATACTGGCATGTAGTGTAGTCATAATCTATACATTCTATGAAAATGTTTTGCGTGGCATCAAGGTCCATACTAAGCAGGAAAAGGCACTATCAATACATTTCTTTCTGAAGTGCTTTATTTACTGTAACAATAGTCCAGAAACAGAGACTCTCATCAGAACTCAGACGCTCTAAGCGTAAAACAAATAATAAGTACATGATGTAGAAGAAGACTCTTCTTCATGGTCTTACGAGACCGATGAAATACTTACTAGTCAAAAAAACAATTTCGCATCTTGTTCTTTGCTTAATTAGCGAGTAATTTAACTCAAGTAATGATGCTTGTACTGTACTGTACATGTATCAGTGATTTGGACAACCCACGCAGTCTACGTGCGCACTTAACTTGTCAGGTTCAGTGTACTACATGTATGGCGGTAGGATATTCTTCTCTGGTTTCCAAAGCCACTTCTGAAGTCTTGTAGTGTCTAATATTACCTGTTTGGTATACCCCCGTGTACCAAACTGTATACGTACATCTATCTGTGATTCGGACAGGCCACACTGTTGACGTGCGCACTTAACTTCTCAGGTGCAGTGAACTACATGTATGGCGGTAGGATTATTCTCTTCGCGTATTAGGGTTTCTAAAGCCACTTCTGAAGTCTTGTAGTGTCTATCATTACCTGTTCGGTATTCCCCCGTATACCAAACTGTATACGTACAGATATGTGATTCGGACAAGCCACGCTGTCTACGTGCGCACTTAACTTGTCAGGTGCAGTGGACTACATGTATGGCGGTAGGATTATTCTTGTCGGGTTTCGAAAGCCACTTCTGAAGTCTTGTAGTGTCTATTATTACCTGTTTGGTATGCCCCCGTATACCAAACTGTATACGTACATGTATCTGTGATTCGGACAAGCCACGCTGTCTACGTGCGCACTTAACTTGTCAGGTGCAGTGGACTACATGTATGGCGGTAGGATTATTCTGCTGGGGTTTCCGAAGCCACTTCTGAAGTCTTGTAGTGTCTAATATTACCTGTTTGGTATGCCCCCGTATACCAAACTGTATACGTACATGTATCTGTGAGTCGGACAACCCACGCTATCTACGTGCGCATTTAACTTGTCACGTTCAGTGTATGTACTCTGGCGGTAGGATTATTCTTCTCGGGTTTCTGAAGCCACTTCTGAAGTCTTGTAGTGTCTAATATTACCTGTTTGGTATGCCCTCGAGCCGTAAGATGCCAATCACCAGACTAATCATGGCGTCATTAAGCGGTGGCTGAAAGGATGAGCAGGGTGTCGGCTAAGTGTTTGGGACCATAATGAGGACAGTGGTGACGTCAATAGGTTCTTGAGTGACGCATATGGAAATACGGCTGAAGCAGCAGATGCATCTTGAAAGTGAATTATTTTAGACCTGTTGTTACTAGGCAGATCTGCCATTTCGAAATTGCATTCGACATGACAGACTGCACGCATAAAACTTTTATTACCATATGTACCATGTTTGGCAATAAATTATATTCTGTATGTATCCTTGTGATAGATAGTTACCACAAAAAGGTATTTTAAATGCTTATGAATTAAATGAAAAAAAAAAACATTATTGCTGAATAAAAAAAAGACTTCTTTGTGTAAAAAGATTATTTTCAACCTGATAAAACTATTCACGGTTGTAGGAATCTTGCTTTTTGGTCCACCTACTTTGCCCTATCGCATTAAATTTGAAGTCTGAAATGATGTAATCCATAACATGTACTTGCTGTGGCCTTAAAATGCAATAAAAAGGTCGTTTTGCAAGCCAGAAAAATGATGACTTACCTGTGAGGCGTCTGCAATAAATCTGAATCCTGCCACAGGTTGTCTCTGGGCAACGTACCCTCGGGTTATCCCCCGTTTTTTTTTTATTCATCAAAACATAAAAGACATAACAAGGACAGTGTGGCGCTGCACTCAAGTTAACAACTTATATTAACAGCGCCACACAACAAAAAAGGTACAATTAACATGAAATATACAAAGTTGACATATCTGTGCGTCGTAGTCCCACCACCCCAAGACATTAAAATGTTAAATTAAATGCTAACAGAGCTATTTGAAAGATAAGATTACATGGTAACCTCCTATATCTCATTGGCGGAAAAACATCCACCAATCAGAGCTAGGAGGGGAATTTAGGCCCATTAACACTTACGTAGTATTTGGACCTCTATATCTAATTGACTGTTAGAAACAGTCAAGCAGAGCTAGAAGCGCTTGGTATCTCCAATGTAAGTTTTTGTTTCATCTTAAACAATATTCTTGGGCACGGCAAATAAACCATGTTCTTCTTGAGTCTACGGGTGAATTCGAGATAACACGCCAGCCTACGTACGCGTGTTCAACGTGCGTTCCTTTGTCTTTGAAGTGGTGCACTTACGTCCTCAGTGTACTGTGAAAATCTAAGGACAGGACCTGCCGACCACAATGAATCAGTCTGTTGATCATGGAAAGTCACTGACCGCATGTATGCAGCAGGAATTATTCTATTCCAATACATTAAATATACAAAAGACCTGCATCAATGATACTTACCCCTCAAACTTACCACCAGTGTGATCTGTATACTAATAAGAAGGCACTAAACTTACTCCCAGTAGAGTGGGAACTAGAGAATACAGACAAAATGAACCAAAATCAAAGCGCGTCGTCTGGACCCCAATACACAATCATATACCAAATGTCAAACAAATTCGTCAAACTCTCGAGCAGATCAAAACAGTACCTAGCTTTCCCGGAAGTATTCAGTAGATCTGGCTACATCCATAGAATTCACCAGAAATTAAAGCTGTTTCAATAACCATCCGATATAAAGATTACTCAACACTTCAATCATGAGTTGCTAGGAGCTATATCACCATTACTATCTACTTAAGCTTAACTGCATGCATCTCATATGGCATTAATGGGGGTAATTTTTTTTTCAAATTACAGACTGAACTCGGAAAAACAGTTTAGTGCTTATTCAGCCTCATTTTCCATGAAAGTCAAACCATGACAGAGAAGTAAAAGCCTTTTGCCTTTCACAATCTTTATGCTGATAATGGTCGTGATTTTGTGCAGTTTGATGCAATTAGACCTCAATTGGCTGCTGCTGCAGTGCAAACAGATTCATTTGCTCTGCCATTAGATGAATACTGATCATGATGATTACGTGCAGTAGAGATACCGCTTTGATAATTGACACTATTGAAGTCCTATGTTTGTAGCACAAAGGCTTTTCATTCGCAGTTTCTTCAAAGATAAGCTTTTTGTTCGCAGTTTCACCAGTTTTAATGGTGCTACGAAGATCCTCATAGTTTAATTATGTATTTAGTTGCCATTGGCAGCACCACTTACATGTACAATTCAAATCTCAGGTCTAATTGTAACACAGCTTTTTCATACGAGAGATCACAGTCCCGTTACTTAGAATAATGACTGATAATGATGATGCAATGATATAAAAAGCAATTATGTATTCCCCAAAGAGAAATTAGCTAGTATTATCCCAATGCTCGTCCTGTAAGCTTGGATGTGGATATTCAAAGGCAACCAATGCAATTTATGGCGACAAAGCTCGAAATATTCTAAATAAATATCTGTATGACATTGAAAAATACATTTTAATCATTACTAATACTTAAAGCATTTAAAAAAAAAACTGCAAAAACAAGTCCCAAGATTAGTCCTTTATTTTCTGGGTGGTACACTAAAGATCATTCTAGGTCCTTCTCTCATTAATCCAGTAACTGTTTTTCGCCACAGTTTTGAGCATTTTTGCTCCATGATCCATGAATTTCGATATACATGGGACAGTGTTGTTTCAACATTTGTATGTAGATAAGTGACTAGAATATTGACTTTGAAAAATCTGATTTCCAAACCCTAAAAACTACACTAAATGTCTTTAAACATGATTCAAACATTTTATCACATGAGCCTTATCTTCGCTATCGTCGATACAAAACCTAATGGTTGAATGTTCATCCCTTTGAATATTGAGAAGAGAGATAACGTTTGTCAGATAATATGTTACGCTACCTCAGTCAAAATCAGATATCTTTAATATGCTCCTTTCATGTCCTACTCAGATATCAGTGTACGTTGGAAAATTTATATTTGAATCACCACAAAAGTGACACCATATTGTAAATAGCTGACATATCCCCTGAATTACAGAATGTAATAATACTCTTCCTAAGAAAACACAATAGATAAGCTTTAGTATCATTATAGACTAGCTCGTTAGAATTATATTTTAGTATTAGTTTGTGTATGTACCATTGCTGTTTCTTTGCCATACATTGTTCAGTTTTTGAGCAATAAAGTTGATTTGATTTGATAATCACGACGTTACAGTATCTGCGTCACACGCCGTTATGTACACCACGCCTGTCGTGATGATGGCATCAGTGCCAATAATGAAATACTCATCATCTGTCTGGACCGTTATACAGAGATTCATGGGGTCGTTTTGAATAATGTATGAGAACTTGGCTGAATGAAGATCCAGTCTATATATATAAATACACCTCCATCAAATGTGCACTGTGTAGGATTTGATGGACAAAACTGACCATGTGTATCGATATGCTCTTGTTCAAATATAAACAAGACTTCGGAGGTCTCCTACCTCCATGGAATATGTAGAGCTTATGTAAATATTTTTTGTGGGGATTTGTCTCATTGATTATGGAAATATTATCGTAATTACAATAATCTAGTTTAATTTATGGTTTTCTAAACTCAAACTACAATATTTTGCATATCAAATTTGTATCATTTCACAATACTTCAATTCATCATTTCCTCAATAATTTTCAACTAAATTTCATACTTTAATTATGCAAATTATGTTGTGATTTGCATAATTTAGAACATATGGTGACAAGACATATAATTTGTTTCATCAATTTCATAATTTTTTCAGGTCCCCCAAAACGGCGAAACCGCATCCACAGAGACCGAGCCTGGCAGTGAAGAAGATGATGGTGTGTTTTCTTTCAAACAATTGGTATTGAAACGTAAGCTACCGGTGACTTTCATTCTTCACGTACGTCTGTCTCAAAGCTGTCCAAGGTCTTGTAAAATAAAACCAGCAACTGGAAGACGTTAGGCGTAAATCTCTACAGACTTTGATTTATTTTATAGCATCTACCTGGCTTCAGGAGCGACCAGCAAGAGTTGGCCAAATACGCAGATAACATGCCAGGGGAGTTGGTCCACTAAATGTGTATAGTTGCCGCTCCCACTGATGTTTTATTCCCAAAATGATCTTCAGTTCTGAGATTCTTCTTTTGTTGGAACAATGAGTGTTTGGTGATGGCAAGCCCGTACAGGCGCCCTGGATGTCAAACTCTTTTTAGTGACCAACTCCCCTGGCATGTTATCGGTTTAATTTTGGGACAATTTATACTCTTTCCAGCCACTTCTGAATCTTGATATACATGTACGTAAAAGCTATTAGTTGTAGTCGTCAGAATTGGAAGAATGTATTATAATTTGTCTTTTTGTCACATGATTAGCAGGAAACGGTGAAGATGATGACGACGACACACAGACAGAAACTGACAAGGAAGAAGACGACGAGGAAGAAACCGAGAAAAGAATGGTACAAGACCAGGGCAACGATGCCAAGATGGCGTCTCTACAGTCTACAAACCAGCTCCCTTCCCTGGACTACGGCATGGGTGCCGAGAATGAGGTGCTGAAGCCTGGACAGATGACCGACTACCTATACAAAGGTAACTTACATTCTCGTTCAATAGGCAAAATAGCCTGATGTGCAGTATATTATGATTTGCCAGGCTCTTTTCGGGCAAGTCAAGATTTATTGCCCAACGACGAGTGTTGTATATATACTATATAGGTTCTATGAGTGGTACAATGTATGCTTTACAGAGTGTCAACTAAATTACGTGCTAAGATGTGGTATACAATTCTGCATAGATGAACTAGGTTCCCGGTAAGAGTTTTACTCATTTGGAGCTTCGCACGGCAGGGTTTTGATACACTCATGTCGTGCAAAACCATGATAAACTGAACAGGAGGCTATAGACAAATGTACTGAGTTTCCACGATCAATTAAGTACAAAGCTTGCTATCATATCGTCAAATACACTACACTTCTCCGTTTTAACCATATAAAACCTGTTACACTTGGAGCGAAGCTGTTTGTAATCTATTGGAAAGATAAGAAGTGCCTTGTTTTGTTCTTTCTTGCGTATCGCTGATGGATTGTAGGCCCTACCAATTGATAGATAGCGATCGCAAAGCCAAAGGATCCCAGAACGCTTTTCTTATCTTTCTCATGCACAGTCGAGTATTCATATGGAAATAAGTTACAATTCAAAGCACTCTGAACAGCGCTGTACATTGGGCGTGGGTGGATGTTTATGGCAACCATGTGGTTAGTATTCACGGACACCCACTGTGAGATCCATATATGTAGCTTTTGCTGATAATGCAGTTATGAAAAGCTCTTGATGCATCCATGATTTTACTTCTCGTAGAGACCAAATTCGTGAGGCCGCGCGCGGAGCTTACGCCCTATATATAGTTCAGTAAAACATATGAACATTAGTAGATTTAGTACATTCAAGGGATTCACAATAAGATATTCCAGTCCATGCAACATTTCTAATGCAACAGGACACCCTTTCATGGACTGTGATTGCTTTTAAAGAAAACAAGAAAACATAGATGTAACAAACAAGGCTAATCTATATCAATTGGTAAGCAAAAGCAATTCAGTAATAACAAAAACATTACAGGACCGAAAACCAAAATACTAGAAATATGATACAACTGAAATATGCAAATGAAAAGAACACGTAATACATATTCAACAGATCGATAAAGTGATTAACAGTAAAAATAAAAATAGTAATAAAACACAACCAATGAGGAATCATAATGACCAAAAGATGATACAGGACAAAATTGCGTTTAGGTAACAATATCATCTATTGTCTCCAGATGACCCTTACGGCGAGTTCGACATTGCCTCTAGCCCGGAGAAGCTGGTTCACAGTATCGCCATGCGCATTTATGTGGACAACGACGTGACAGACTTTGAGAGTGTCATGAACAAGCTGCTGACCTATGGAGTGGTAAGCTGTAGCAAGTTTCAAGTTAATTTATTTTACCAGGGCATACCTCAGATCTGTTGATCTGATGTTCAGGTATCCCTGCATGGGCACACATTGGTTCATTGTAAATAGACTATCACTTCACCCTGACAAAACTAAATCCATGGTTTTTGGATTACCTTAGAAACTGCCTCACGCAGGAAAAAAATATCACTCTAATTAACAGATGGGTTTAACTCATTTGAGCAGGTAAATGTGTATACTTACCTAGGTGTCACCATGGACTCCTCGCTAAACTGGTCAGCACATACAAAGAGGATTGCACATACAGATACCGTGATATTGTGTATAATTTGTAAATCCATATTTGCATGCCAACAATTGTGGTATGGATAGGGCTGACAAGCCACACATGAAGGTGCCAATGGTCATGATACATGGATGCTAAAAACATATTTCTAGATTGACGAATGCATGTTTCTACAATACTTCGTAAACCTTTGTAGAGAATTTACACAAACAATACATAATTACCATGACTACACAACACTTGCAAGTTATTAATGTGGTGGCAATTTCTGAATCGGCCGTCATTGACAGAAGTTAATTGGATTTACTGGTGGTAGAAATCAAGAACTGAAAAGATCTATGCCCCCTAACATCAGAAGAGTAACTTTGTTCCAAAACTCTTTGTTCAATGAATAATACCTATCACGTTTGACTATTCTCTGGACTTGTTGTATCTTAGTGTTATTGGTGCCATATGGCCTTAGCTAAGCGTATGGATTCTAATGGCGTTTATATAACAACACAGATAACAGACAAGGAGGCAGAGGAGTTTGAAGACGCGGTTGCAGAGGAACTACGTCAGATCGTCCTGGCAGAAGACAGAAAGCTTTACCAGGCAGCGAAGGGTGTCGATTTTGTGAAGGACCCAAACCCACAGGTAGGCAGTGTGCTTTAGAGACACAGGGCAAGGATATGCAACTCTCTCTCTCTCTCTCTCTGTGTGTGTGTGAGTGTGTGTGTTTGTGCATGTGTGCGTGTAAAAAAATATCATTTTTCAAAGGCGTTAATGATATCACTGTAAGTAATAAAGATTATTTTGCCACTGTACAATCTCAACATGCAGTTACTGAAGATGTGGCATAATGACACTGTCGATTATATGTGCAAATTTATACCAGAAAATATTTTTAATCTTCATAATATCCCATGAAAGCCTTATACACATTATTGGAAACATAATGTTTTACAGTACAACGAAGGGTTGAACCTGGACTACGGTGACAACTTCCTGATCCCACAGTCGAAGTCAGCTTACAAAACTGACGCCAAAAGCATCCTCGACGAGGCGTCCATACTAGATGCCCTCCAAGAAGAAGAAAAAGAAGGTAATACATATTACCTCTCATGATGCTCTCAAAATACTTAAGAACTAGCCAAGGAGGACCAGCAATAGTCAGCTTTACGCACACTTACATGTACATATCGACACCATGATAGTGATCGCCTTCTCGCATTGTGTGTATATACGCTTTGCTATTCAGATTTTTTTTACACGAAGTCTGTACTGGCCCCCTTTTAAACCTATGTTTTTAATCTACCTATGTGTATTTGTATGTTTGGTATTGTTTCAATTTTTCAATATGTACCTTTGGCATGAAGCGAACATAACAATGAAAATAAATAAAACTATATGATAAAATATACGATAACACAAAGATAAGGCATCTCGGAAGTCAATCCTCGACGAACTTCCCTTATACCGCCTACTACTTATTAGGGTCTGTGCATTTACGTGTAAAAAAACTTAGTTTCCTATCTAAATTAGCCAGGCTGGGTATCAGGCAAAGCACCCACGGTTACTGAGATAACAAACAAGATTGAAATACAATGTGTACTTGCATTATTATGCTAGAAACAATATATTCATTACTTGACTGCTCTGGGAGTTTTTTAATGTATTCCCCCAATGTTGACGGTAAGTTTGTGGGTGCATGTGTAACTTTAAATGACCAAGAACATATATCCTCAAGCTCTTAAATGAGTTGTAGTAGCATCTGTGGTACGTAAAAGCCACAGGCTCAGGTGCGAATAGCACGGCCCGATGATTTTGAAAAGGCCAACGGTGCGAAAACAACGTTAACTTCCGCCCATCTACTCTAGTAGAAGAGGCCCCTTGTGACATCGTGGCTGATGCAATACATTTTATAAGGGTAACGTTTGTTTTGTGAAGCATTGCCTGGGAAGTGAACCGGCATTGCGAAAGCAAACAAGTATTTTTTCTTTGTAACGGAGTGCTTCAATGGAAGGCCTATGCGACCACTTCTCGGCATTGAACTAGGAATGTGAGAGAAACATGGCTGTGTCAAGAGATGGCGGTGAACGTTTGATTTGAAAGCCTGTAGATTGTAGGTTGGTGGGAAACACTTGTCAGGGAGGGAATTCCAAAGCTTGGCCGTACGGGAAAAGAAACTGTCATTGTGAAAAGATTTCGAACAAGGAATTTGGACGAGTTGTGTGAGCTATGTGAAGTATGTCAGGTGCTAAATGTAAAGATATTATTCTTATCTATTTATTTATTGATCTTTGGTATACGTAGGTGGTACCCATTTCACATCTGGGTGGACTGAGGAAAGCCGTGTCATGTGCCTTTCCCAAAGACACAGCTAATCTCCAAGCAGATTTTTGGTGGGGGTAAGACAGTATCACACAGAAGATCGAGGCCTTCGAGATGAAGTGTTACAGAAAGCTGCTCAGAGTTAGCTGGACAGAACATCGTACAAACGCCTCAGTCCTGGAAGAGTTAGGGATCGGAAGATCACTCCTACACATGATTAGAAGGAGGAAACTACAGTACTTCGGACATGTGTCGAGAGCACAGAACATCTCAACTCACATCCTGCAAGGACGGATCTGTGGTAGCAGGAGCAGAGGGAGGCCGCGAAGGAGATGGGTAGACGACATCAGAGATTGGACAGGCAGGTCCCTGGCTGACTGCACACAGATGGCCAAGGACAGAGATGGATGGAGGAAGCTTGTGCTGAATGCTACCACAGTCCCCGACCCTCCAGAAGAGGAAGGGACAAGGTGAAGGTGAAGACAGTATCAAATTGACCAGTCGGTATCCATTTCCCCACCGAAGAGATGTGCGCGGGTGACTGACCATATTCAATTAAGCTATAAACCGCTTGTAAAACTTAGCACGACCAATTTTTGATAGCTGTTAATAGGGGCACGAGGAGGGGCAGCAACACCATATTTAAAAGAAGTGCCCAGCCCCTCCCTGTGCGAGTACCGACAGATATTCGGTGGGGAAATGGATACAGACTGGCCAATTTGATACTGTCTTAACCCCACCAAAAGATCTGCTTGGAGATTAGCTGTGGGCACAGCGTCTAGCCAGGAATCGAACCCATGCCCTCTCGATCTCGCGTCTTCTCGGCCATTTGACGCCACCTGGTGCAAGAAATGAAGCTAAATTGCAAAATGGATCTAACTATTTGCCACATCAATGAATTTGACGCACTGTATTCACAGTCTTATGCCCACCTAGCCCACTTGCAAGGCGTGGGTGTGGTAATATTCACCTTAGCATGTCTCCAGCCTCATGCAGCATGCACATCTATCACGACTCACGTTATTACCCCAAACACATGTATCATACTTACTTCCTAACTTCCTCCCATCAAACGGTTCAGATTAAGAATTACGAGAAAAAGTGCAATTTGGGAGCACCGCTAACGCAAGTAACGACTGTGACATGCAATGCGCAGATTTGTCGTTCAATCAGCATTTGGTCTAGTCACTGCGATGAATATAAATGAGAGAAGCTGCAGCGTGCCGCGTCAACTCTCAAGTGTACGCGCTATACAAGCTTAGCGCACAGCTGCATAAGGCCAAGTGGGTGGTTTGGCATTTTGAAACTGCGTTTTATTTTTACTGAGCAAACGTTTAAGTTTGCTGTGCAAAGAAATCGCTTGTCAGCATATGAATGGTGTTTGAAGCCGCCATGAGGCTGCAAAATTCCACTGAGGGCTCCCACAAAACCGTCCGCTTAAAGTGATCTTTTGGCAAACAGAGTGCATACGTTTTAACATCCATGAACTATCCAATCACTAGGTCTTTTGTATTGCCTTATCCATGTAGAGCCTCTCTAAAACCCACCGAAAGGACAAGCATATGTCTGAAGGCCGATGATTGTATGAAACCTTTCTACGTGCTCACCCAGTTGGTATTGACATTCTGAACATCGAAAACAATGTAAAGTTCAAAGCTTTGAACTGAAGCATCCAGACAAATGACTTGTATTTTAAAGGTTTCAAGCTACAATGATTACGCTTAGGTGAAGGTTGTTGCCCAGCGATTCAAAGGCCTCAATCAGCTTCAGAATTTCACTCTCTAACTCCTCGTTCCCACCAGCTGGTCTCTCGGTCTAAGACATCCGTGGACTCAAGTTTAAAAGAGTTGCTTGAGTTACTGTTTTTTAGCGTATCTTATTACCTGGATGTCTAACCTTCACCAATTAAGGTTAAGGTTTTTGCCCAGCGATTCAAAGGCTTCAATCAGCTTCAGAATCTTATTGTCTTCTCTCGTTGAGGATTTTGCAGGCAACCCTGTCTGAATATTGCCTTGCGTGAGCCGTGGGCGTAGATCGAGTCCTTACTCCTACGCACGGAGGCTTAGGCTGCCATCAATCAATTAAAAGGGAATACAGAAGGCTAGCGGGGGCTGCAATCGTACACTTGCACTTGATGGCACAACGTCGAAGTCAACTTGGTTATCATCACCAGTCACGCGATTGGACAATATCTGTAAAGGAAATCGCAAGATCATCTTCTCATACGTATACTGACATTTACAGTCTATCACAACAACTTGGCTTCCACATGGTAAAGAGAATTGTTTGTGTTCGCTCTTTTTAAGTTTAAACCAACTATACCGTACGAAAGATAAAGCCAGCATATCAAAGTCCTCAACCAACAACCCAAACCGTACCCAGAAGACTCACATGCATACGCATACTCTTCACCCACCTTTCTAGGGGCTTAAATGAGATTTACTCAACCTTGAGGGAATAATATAACTTTCAATCCTATTTTTGTAAACCATAACAACAGAGATAATAATTCGTTCATAAGCTCAAACTACAGAGTTTGACGCCTACGCATAATTTTGATTTCTAGGAAAGCCGAAGAAAGATGCAGACATGTTGTAATGTTGTGATGTCAGCTAAGAGACGAAATAAAGTATCTAAAGTATCCACTAAGAATTCTTATAGTCTTACAAGTTACATTCAAATCAGAAGTTGACGCCTACGCATAATTTTGACTTCTAGGAAAGCCCAAGAAAGATGCAGACAAGGCCAGTGAGGAGGTGGAGGAGACATCAGACGCCAATGTTGTAATGTCAGCTAACAGACGAAGTAAAGTATCCACTAGGAATTCTTACATTGTGACAAGTTACATTCAAATCAGAATTTGACGCCTAATGTTGACTTCAGGAAAGCCCAAGAAAGATGCAGACAAGGCGAGTGAGGAGGTGGAGGAGACATCAGACGCTAATGAGAAGGATTTTTAGAGACTATATTCACACAACCACATCAGAAACAACACATCATTGTTACGTTACAAGAACTTAAATTACAGATTTACAACATTAAGTAGTTAAACTTAAACTACAGATTCACGGCAAGAAGTGGTTACAGAACTTAAGCTACAGCTTTACAACAACAACAACAGTTTGACGCCTACGCCTAATTTTGATTTCTAGGAAAGCCCAAGAAAGATGCAGACAAGGCGAGTGGGGAGGTGGAGGAGACATCAGACGCTGATGAGGAGGATGAGGATGAGGAGCCTGAGCCGGGTCAGGCCATCACTAAGGAGGAGCCCAGGGACGGAGGGGACAACGCAGACTCAGACTTCAACAACGAGATAGACAACGATGACGAAAGGTAAGAGTTTTGATATATTGTGACATCAAAACTATCGCAGAATGGAACTCGCTGTCACCAAACACATACGTACAGTAGGGGCATTGTCATTAGATAGCTTTAAAAATGTCTAGAGTTAGATCTTCAATTGATAGGTGTAACAAGTCGATCGGTGTCATGTAGCCAGCTGCCGAAGAGCGGTTATACCGGCTATACAGATACAGAAATTTTAATTTTTCTAATTCTATTTTCCATTTAACCGGAACATCCAGAGCATCCGAACTAGTTTGTGACAAAGAAAACGACGGAATTTAACCTAGGCCGAACAACAAGCTATATCGTCTAGGCGATTAAAAACGTGGTATTAAAATGGCACTTTACATGAGGCGGTAGCTGTGAGTGAACCTGATAAGTCTGGGTTTAGTCTCTTTTGGCGACTCGATTGTTCTGGTTTATCTATTCTATTTTACATTAATTGCTTCATATGTTTGTACCATTTTAATGGCTGAGTATATTTGTGGGTACTTTTGTGCCTGTAGAATGTAGATAAGCCCCCTTTGAAATCTTAAGTATTCCAGTCATTTTTGCTTTGAAGATAACTATGAAGAGTTTTGTGTAATATATAAAATAGATAAAAAGCAATATACCGTTTACAATCGTATCGACTGACACATAGGACATTATATATGGCTATGGAGGCCAGATGATTTTTTGATACTTAGAAAATTGTTCTTTCATCTGGCTTTAATGTGTTTTATGCATTGAACTAGGTATTCTTTACATATGGCTATGGGTGGCCAGAGATTATCCTTTTTTTATACTTGAATAGCTGTTCTTTCATCTGGCTTTTATATGTGTTTAATGCATTGACCTGAGTCTTCTTTACATGTGGCTATGGATGGCCAGAGGATTTTTTTATACTTGAATGGTTGGTCTTTCATTTGGCTTTAATGTGTGTTTGAAGCATTGACCTAAGTCTTTTTTCATCTGGCTTTGCAAAAGTGATGAGGCAGACAAGAAAGACGACAAGGAGGAAAAGAAGGGCAGCAACGAGGAAGAGGAGGCAGAGGAAGAGGAGAAGGAGATCGTCATTGATAACGGGAAGACGAAAGAAATCCTGAAGGAGAAGCAGGAGGCGGAAGGGGAGGGAGATAAGGAGGACGAGAAGGAAAGTGAAGAAGAATCAGAGGTACCACTTAGTATGGATTTCTGTACATGTCCATTCTTGGACACATGAAGTCTTATACAGCTTTTGGATCAATACAAGAAATGCAACCTTGATGCACAACATTCGTACATGTTTTGTAAGATAAATTGGACCCTTTCTGGCTGGCCAATTTCTCTGGCCGATTAAAGCCCCCTGTTTTGCCGACGTCTACTTTTTATTCAGCTTGCAAAGGAGGCTGCTGGAGACTAGTAAATGTTGAAAAGAGTGAAGAAAATTAACCTTCTTGCGTGTTTTAAGGTGTGCTTAAGATATGAGTTTCTGTCACACTTGTTATGTACAAAAATTGCACTATGTATCGATTGTACCAACACAAATGATCTACAGTATCGTGATATACCAATTTTCTTTAATCTTTAAGGTCATCAACGACGCAGACGTGGACACAGCCGGAGAAAAGGAAGAAAAGAAGATGAGTGATGATCTAGAAAATGAGCTGAGGGAGAAGTACGGATACGTGGATTCCTCAAACGGAGGTAAAGAAAAAACTTCAACATGAGCAACTGCAAAATTTCATTACTTACTCTTGACTTTATCATGACAGTCATTTTTTGGGCTATCAGTTTGGATGAGCAGCGCCCTCATGCAGTCTTGCCCAAATTTGCAGCTATGTCAAATGGTTCTACAGCGCCTCTTTGCGATACATCAGAAAGTGCACACGTCATACAGTACTGCTTCTATGATAAGAAAGTAGAGCTAGTATGTTTATGTTTTGTTCGTACCTATTCACTTATTTCTTTAGATGTCAAGCAAAGTTACATTTGCAACATGTCTAAAATATACATAGTATAGACAGTTCACAATGCCATAGGCCCATCGCTTGCTGCTGAACGTAGGTATAAAAAGGGACATAATAAAAACTCTGCATCATAGTTTTTCGTATCCTTATTCATATTGTTTCCTTATATGGTGACAGGCACAACACCTAATGACGTCACGACTGCCCAGGAGCTGCTCCAGACCGAGGCTGACGGTGATGACGCGCAGCTGCAGGAACCTGACATGTCCTTCCCTCAACTCACACGTAAGGTTTTACTTACAGACACCTTTTTTATTCTTATAAAGTACAGATAAAGGTACAGTTTATTGTACGCCCACACCAATTTAATTTTTGTTGGGCCTTGAATTCTTCAGAAAAAATATCAAGCCTTGAGACGCATGCCTTTACGTGAAACTTAGTGGCCTCTGATCTCCTGTCCAATTTACTGACTTTAATGTTTTGACTGTTTTCCACCTTTTGTTGCTTGACTAAATGTAATTTGACTAAAAGTTTTTATTATGTCTTCTCCTGTGTAAATATATGCTGTGCCTCATTGGAAAGTAGCTTCTAAAGCTGAATGGGCTACCCAGCCGGTTTATGATAAATAAATTAATTGATAAGCCACATGGAGACATAGAAATAAGTCAAGGGACATCAATATAGCCCAGTAACTACTAAAAGCACAGGTACAGATGAACTTAAACATTCATGATAGTACAGTGTAAGATCAAAATTCGTTTTCCATATTTCAGCCGAAGAATATGACGAGCTGGCCAAGGAATTCGACCGACGTGTGGAGGAATACTACAGGAAGGGCTTCCTGAACCGGAAGGAAGTTCAGGATCTTGAGGCTATGGTGGCGCCGTACTGAGCACAGGACATGAGAAACAGAGGGAGGTGACCTGATCATTTTGACCGACGACTCCTTGGTTATGTTTACCGTGAATAAGAGTACAAAATACGCCTGCTGATTTGAGATATACATGTAAACAGCTTACCTACAGCTGTTTAAGGGTTTAAGGTGTTGTGTGATGTTCAGAAGATCTTGCTTAATTTACTTGTTTTCTTAGTAACATTTGGCCATGTAGAGATTCTGTATTTAGAATATGAAGTACGTGTACCAAAGAGATCTGGGACTTTCATTGTGAACATGTTATCGTAGCCTTTGTAGATTATGCACTGCCCTTGATTATAAGATAAAGATTGCTCACGCTTGTTCGAAAATCCAGTTGATTAGAAAGAATAGAAAGAAGAGCTTTTTCAGCGCTTTTGAAGGTTCATCAACTCTTGTTACTAAAATAACTAGCCCCAACATTCTCGATTAATATCAGTTATGGAGAGGTTAAGGTTTTCTGCTTGTCTCTGAATGATTCGTTTATAGAATCTTATTGGAAGCGTGGATGACAAAAAAGGTGTAAATTATTGCATATAAGCAAGTATGGATTACAAAAAAATCCTATCTCGAACATATGTTGTTTTTTAACGGAATGGTTCAATGCAAGGCCTATACGACCACTTCTCGGCATTGAACTAGAAATATGAGAGAAAACATGGCTATGTCAAGAGATGTCAGTGAACGTTTCATTTGAAAGCCTGTGGATTGTAAGTTGGTGGGAAACACTTGTCAGGGAGGGAATTCCAAATTTCAATGTTATCCCGGTCAGCTGTGCCATGCTTTTAATTGAACAGAATGTATTCCATCAACACATAGTGACACTAAGAACTTCCACCTCAAACCTACCTACCTAGTCCCATGAACGACACTGGTCGTCGGGGGGAAAAGGCAGACCTTGCAGCAGAGGTGTAGCCAGGTCCTCCTGTCTTGGGCTGCTGTCAGGAGTTGTGGGACGGTGAGGGACTTCCAGTCCTTGATGATACACATGGTACCACATAAAGCGATCAAACACACTGAATTACACAATCATTTGATAAACACAATCACAATGATCTGAAGGCTTTTTTAAAGTTCTTGGCGCTACCAAATGGAATGAGTGAATAAAATGATTTCTGTCACAGTAATGCTTTCGTGGAGTATTGTAAAAGTTGCACTCAGGTTGCAAAGATGCTGCCGGAAGATTGTGTATGTGGTTGTTAGTAAGAAATATACACTATCAGACGGGTCATTCTGGATTCAGTGGTTATTTACTGATGCCAAATTTTCACAGTTTTTAACACAAAAAATTCCCCGCCAAATCCGAGTAAGACCATTTGATTTACTGGTTAATCATTGTATGAGCTTTGAATAGGTCAAAAGACTATTGGGCAGCCATATGGATATACTCTTTGGCCATCGACTATATGGATTGTGTCCATACAGCTTTGTACGAAAATTGCAATGTCCTAAAATGACGAGTACAATTCAACTTCTGGATCCATAGAATTAATTTTGGCTCGATTCAACATACTCTTAGGAAATATTAAAATACAATACGACACAAATATGTCGCAAATTTGCTATACAACTCAGGTGTTAGAATGAGTTGCAACCTGTTCATGATTTTTTTTTCTTTCTCAACCGGACATTGTCGGTCTTACTGTGTGATAGAATGGACCCATCTGATAAGTCTATGTATACCGGACCACTTGGCAGCACTAGTATTCGGAGTCTCAAAGAAGCGTACACGTAACGGAAAATACCCAAGAATCAGACATCACTGTGCCATCATGGGCGTTTTGTCGTTACTGGTTATCACACGAACCAAGATGACATTTTCTTCTGGTCTTTTTTCGACACCATTGTCTATGGAATGCTTCTATACATCCAAAACAATGTCCATCAAGAGTTTACATGAATATGTAGGAAAACCTGTGGATCGTACAAACTACAAACGTTCAGTATTTGTCGTAAGAAAATTCAAACTCTACTCTGGATCAGTTACGGATTTTTATTTCCGGACGTTTCGAGTGACATCCATCACTCTTCTTCAGCGTCACAAATGAACAGAGAACCGATTCACTCTTATATACAAGTAACTAGAAAAACCGGTTAAACAACAAGGTCCGTAAGAAGCTTTATCATGTAAAAGAACGGTTCACGCAAAATACAGGTAATTAGAACTAGAAAAACCTGTTCAACAACCGTAAGAGTCTTGGTCATGTAAGGAAGGTTCCTATGGTAGGAAATTACCATAGGAAATAAAAATCCGTAACTGATCCAGTAGTAGAGTTTGAATTTTCTTACGAGTATCGTTTACCTGGATGTCTAACCTTCATCAACGTTCAGTATTTGTGATGTGTTTAGGGCATACCATTATGATGAAGACTTGTTGCAGCCACATTTGACGTTGTGTACGTAGATTCTGATTTTGAAGCATCTTACTTTCATTGTATCTAGCATGTAAACATGTGTGCAGTGTGCCTTGTGATGCAATTATTCATAATGGGCATGATACTATAATTGAAGGTGCAGAGAAGAAGACACTATCAAATATATCTGTATAAGAGTTTGGGGTGATTCGCATTGTTTGAAGTCTGGCTAAGAAGAGGACCAAACTTACGAGAGACTTCATTTAGCATTGTAAACATCAGTGTGTTTCGCAGTATGTATGATTGAATATATATATGTAGTAACACGCTTCAACGTGGAGTTAAAGAATACTCTGAAACAAAATATACGGCGTCAGAGTACATTTATCAGAGTTGCTTGGAAGCTTTAGACTTTATAAGCGCATTTGATATGGAACCCATACTTAGTACCCGTGCTTAGGGTACTTACTTTGTTGAAAGAATGAAAAAAAATGGATATCGTTGTTGTCATGAATGTATTATACATATAGATGTATTCGGCAAGCTTAGAAGAATGTAGTCTGGGAATGAAGATTTGTACAGGTGTGTGTGGGAAGGCATTGGAGAAAGATGTAAATAATATATATTTTCGTCTTTGGTGTAAAGAGTAATCAAGAATAAAAAAAATGACGTTCTACGTTATTTATGGCTATTGTCATTGTTTAAAAGTATGTATTAACTTCCTTCTATTAGATTTTTCTCTTAGATGTGTAACTTCGTCAAGTGGCATGCCTTCATATACATACATGTAACCATATAACGTACATCAAAGACACATAGATTTTAGTCTGGCCACTGGTTACAAAAAACACCTACCGCATGGTTGCATATTCATAACCGCCTTGGTTGTGGTTGCATCTTGCAATGCATCAATATCAAGATGATTGCAATAATGGCAACAGTCGCAAGTGGCGTCTAAGGGTCGCAACCGTACGTAGATGAATCCCTCTCGAATTCTCAGCATACAATGGAGATGACGATACAGGTTCCAGTCAAGTGTCCGGGTCAACATCCCTGACGGGCAATGTCAGCTAACAGACATAATAAAGTATCCATTGCAAGTATCTTGCTATGTCACAATGGTTCAGTATGGGGCCAATAGCGACCCAGTAGCAAAACACTGGTATCAAGCATACGATCAAGCAACGATGGAAGCACATTCATACTTTCAAGAGTTAAGTGTATTTTGTTTGTCATCTAACTACCTACCACTGAATTTATTAGAATGGAAACAGAACTTCAGGGATAGTGAAGAGAAAGGCCCAGAGAAGCCCGACGGAATTGTGCACTGGTCGATGTCAATTATTGCCAAAAATAAGAAAGATTACTCTTGATGGGGTGAAATAACTGGCACAAGGAAACCAGAAACCGCGCAGTGTGCCGACAAAAAAACCCCGAAGAATCCAGGTCACTCACATGACTAAGTAAGTACAGGTAAGTAAGTACCCCACAAATAATCACACCCTGACAAAACTCTACCTCCTAAAGGCGAGGATAAAGGAAGAAAAATGACTGTTGCCGAGGTTGGGTCGTTAACTACAGATACCCCGGGTCCCTGTGTTTAATTGAGGTCATGACCCTGAGACCGTGAAAGTCCAGGAACCGCAGGTGGCAATGGAAGGAGAATGATGAAAAGGTCAATTGTCAAGGACAGATTTATGACATTGTTGTCCTACTTCTTGAAATTGAAGGTCAAGGAATATAAATGAGCAGGAAATGAAGGTAAAATAAGATGTTGTTGATGAAAATTGGACGTCCAGGTATTTAATGCATTATACAAAATTATTCTCAAAAATGTATCAAAGGTCTTTAACGTAGCCAGGCGTTTTAGACAGAAACCACAGTCTTGCATGCATCAGCAGTGACTGTAAACTAGTTTCTGGGGACACATGTAACCTAGTTTGATTATTGCGCATTAATACATTATACAAAATTATTATCAAAGGATTAGAAAAGGTCTCTAACTTAGCCAGCCATTTCAGACAGAAACCAACCACAGTCTTGCATACATCAAAAGAGACTACGAACCAGTTTCTGGACAAATGCAACTAGCTTTCATCTGGCAGAACTAGTATGTACATATCATACATAAAAGATTATCTTTTAGTTAATTAATCTGAAATGATATTTTGCAGGATAGTTTCGATTGGGTTGAACCCGAACTTATTTTCGTTTATATAAACTGTGTGTTGAATAGAAACAGAAAAAAATAGGAAACAGCATGGCAAAAATATTTCACGATAACGATGACGTAAAATCTTCAAGTTAATTAACCTGAAATGACATTTTGCAGAATAGTTTTGACTGGGTTGAACCCGAACTTATTTTCCTTTATATAAGCTGTTTGTTGAATAGGAAGCAGAATAGAAAACAGCATGGCAAACGTATTTAACGATTGCGTAAAATCTTCAGGTTAATTAACCTGAAATGACATTTTGCAGAATAGATTTAATTGGATTTTACTCAGACCTTTTTTTCTTTTATATAAGCTGTTTGTTGAATAGAAAACAGAATAGAAAACAGCATGACAAACGTATATCACGATTACCTAAAATAACCACTGAACAGGAACCTCCCTTCTCAGAC